TCAGACATTTGTGCTGTAGGATGTTCTGTAGCTAGAGTTTTCCTGCCTTGCCCACACTCAGGACAAATTTTGTCACCCACCAGTCCCACAGCCACTCAGATCCAATCAAGTAAACACAGAGACTTATATTGCTTACAAACTGTATGGCCATGGCAGGCTTCTTGCTAACTGTTCTTATATCTTAAATTAGTCCATTTCTATAAATCTATACCTTGCCACGTGGCTCGTGGCTTACCGGTACTTTACATCTTCCTTGTCCTGACAGCTGCTGCAGGCAGTGACTCCTTCTGCCTTCCTGTTCTTTTATTTCTCCTCTCTGTTAGTCCTGCCTATACTTCGTGCCTAGTCATGGCCAATCAGGTTTTATTTATAGACCAATCAGAGCAACACATTTGCCATACAGACCATCCCCCAGCACAGCCAAGTGCAGACCATCTCAGACACCTGCACTCAGGCCGGTGGTCCTAATCATCCTCCATGCGGACCTGCTGGGTAAAGCCACGAGGAACCCAAGAACAGGCTTGCACAGGACATACAGAACATCCCACAGCAATGTTCTGTATGGCAAATGTGTTGCTCTGATTGGTCAATAAATAAAATACTGATTGGACAGTGGCTAGGCAGGAAGTATAGGCGGGACTAACAGAGAGGAGAAAAGAAAGAACAGGAAGGCAGAAGGAGTCACTGCCAGAAGCCGCCAGGACAAGCAGCATGTGAAGATGCCGGTAAGCCATGAGCCACATGGCAAGGTATAGATTTATGGAAATGGATTAATTTAAGCTATAAGAACAGTTAGCAAGAAGCCTGCCACGCCCATACAGTTTGTAAGCAATATAAGTCTCTGTGTTTACTTGGTTGGGTCTGAGCGGCTGTGGAACTGGTGGGTGACAAAGATTTGTCCTGAGTGTGGGCAAAGCAGGAAAACTCTAGCTACACATTTGTGTTTAATCTTCTGAGATCTCACTGATTAATACTTTACCCTATTTTTATTTTGGCTATTATTTGCTTGATGTTCATATGCATTTGAGATACTAATCTTTAATGTTCAGTTTCCTACTAATATTTGTTGAGTAGATTGAACCTTCTTTTGTTTTTTTAAAGATTTATTTAGTATACAGCATCTATGACTGCAGGTCAGAAGAGGGCACCACCAGATCACATTATAGATGGTTGTGAGCCACCATGTGGTTGATGGAAATTGAACTCAGAACCTCTGGAAGAGCAGCTGCACTCTTAACCTCTGAGCCATCTCTCCAGTCCCCATACACAGCAATTTTTAACGAAATCATATGTGATGGTTTGAAGGAAAATGGCACCCAAAGGGAGAGGCACTGTTAGGAGTAACCTTGTAGGAGGAAGTGTGTCACTGTGCGGGTGGAATTTGACGTCTCTTTTCTTTAAGCTTTCCTCAGTGTGACTATCAGTTGACTTCCTGTTGCCTCTGAGTCAAGATGTAGGATTCTCAGCTTAGCACCATGCCTGCCTGCACACCGCCATGCTCCCTGCCATGATGATGATGATGGACTAAACCTCTGAAACTGTAAGTGAGTATCCTCAATTAAATGTTTTCATTTATAAGAGGTACTGTGGTCATAGTGTCTCTTCACAGCAATAAAAACCTAACTAAGACATCATGTAACTAACTTATAGAAGTTAAAATAGCTTGTATATAATTCATAAATGATTGAAACCAGGGATGAAATAAACAAATAAGATCACTGGGTCCAGACTTTTCTTAGACATATTTGAAACCAGATGAAAGTCATACTGTATATATACATATAATAGAGTTGTTCTCAGCCTGGAAGAATTAAATGATGTCATTAGCAGGAATGGGGGATGAAACAGATTGTCGTGTTAAAATAACCAAGACAGCTTGGGAAATTCAGACTTTTCACAGACTCTAGACTTAACAGTGTGTGTTCAGGTTTCTGTGTGTCTGCATGTACATTTTTACACAAAGAAAGCAGAAGAGAGATTATTTGAAAGTTGAAGTGCTGGGACTCCTAACAGCAAGAACAGGGATTGTCTCCAACTCTTTTACAATCAGGGATAAAGCAATTGGGGGTAAAGCACCAAGTGAAGTCAATAGGAAGATAAATACAGAAGAAACTATCACATTTGTTTCATAAATTGAACACACACATGCATGACATAAAGTGAAAGGTATCTACTTGAAGAGAAACAAAGTTAGTCGTAAGTTGAGCAACAGATGTGGGTGACAGAAGGGCACATACCAGCAAAGGTCCTCAACACAAGACTTCTTCATAGCCACTACTGGAATCTAATACAGGTAAAAACAATGTAGGAAATCAAAGATTAAGTAGAAGAAATGGGTTATCACAAGGTATTGACCTGTGAGAACTGAGGATCAGGGAGGGACATCCTGTTTTAGAACTCATGTAAATGTGCTGTAATGAAATCCACTATGTTGTATAATAATTTTAAAAGGAAATAATAATTATTACACACAAAACATAACTGGACACCATGCTTATTGTGAACCACTAGAAATTTTTTTATTCATCTGTTTATTTTACATCCCAGCTGCATCCTCCCCCACATCCTCCCCTCTCAGTCCCTCTCCCCCATTCCTCCCTCCCACCCCTAATCTGCTCCACTTCCATCTCCATCCAGGAAAGAGCAGGTCTCCTATAAGTTATTAATAAAACATGGCATATCAAGTTGCAGTAAGACTAAGCACCTGCCCATGTATTAAGACTGGGCAAGGTGACCCAATATGAGAAGTAGGGTCCCCAAAGCCAGTAAAAGTTGAGACCACCCCTGTTCCTGCTGTTAGGAGTCCCATAACAGGACCAAACTACACAGCTGTAACATATATGCAGAGGTCAGTCTCATGTAGGCTCCCTCACTGTTGGTTTAGTCTCTGCAAGACCCTATAAGCCCAGGTTAGTTGATTGTGTGAGCCTTCCTGTGGTGTCCTTGACCCCTCTGGCTCCTACACACCTTGCTTTTCCTCTGCCAGATTCCCGAACTCCACCTAATGTTTGGCTCTGGGTCTCTGCATCTGCCTCTATCAGTTGCTGGATGATGCCTCTCCAATGACAATTTGGACCACAAGAAATTTTATTTGTACTCTTGAAAGATGTATTTGTTCTGTCTCCCCATGAAAAACTCCTTCTGTCACATTTCTCTATATGTGGGTCTTTTGTTTATTTTTTTTTCTGTTTTGAGAAAGGGTCCTGGTACTCACTCTGTAGACCAGGCTGGCCTTGAACTCAAAGATATCTGCTTGCCTCTGTCTCCTGAGTGCTAAGATTAAAGGTGCACACCACCACTGCTCAGCTCTACATGCAGGTCTTAAGCCACTAGGACAGCTCATCACAGAAGTAGAGGTCAGGCACATGTTAAATGTTGATTTTTAAATGTTCAATAAGATCCAGAAAAGAACACCAGCCCTGTGCACCTCATCTCAAATACTGAATAGGACATATCACCAAGCATGCCGAAGAATTGCCTGCATTTGTCCTACATTCTCTGCAGTCCATACCCACTGAAAGGAACTCATGGGCCCACACTCATCAGAACACTTTCGCCCTGGCAAAGCAGATACTAGAATGTAACCAATATATAAGTAGGAAAATGGTAGAAGCATTTACACATTAAATGCAGGGTCACTTTCCATATACTAGTGGCACCTGATTGCATCATTCCCATCTGAACCCTCATTCAAGTTACTCCAAGTTGCAGCAAGAGGACCCAAGCATTTTGGAGACCCCCAGTACCATGGGATGACAACCAAGGACAGCAGAGGCAGTGGAGTGGAGCCAGTAGGAGCTAGAAATAAGCTTTGTGTGCTGAAGAGGGAGGAGCTTGAAAAATCAAGATCATGAGTGGATTCCAGACATAGGTCACTGTGCTGTTTATATAGTAAGAGTTTGGTTTTGCTTTGCTTTAATTGTGACTGTGCCTTGGTTCTTCCCTCTTGAAGTTAAGAAAATAGTTAATTTTGGTTTTACAGGAGACCATACTTGAGGGAATTGGAACTTTTTATGAAATTTATGGATTTTACGAGAGTTTGGATTTCTTTTTTTCTTTTTCTTTTTTTCCGAGAAAGGGTTTGTCTGTGTAGCTTTGCGCCTTTCCTGGAATTCACTTGGTAGCCCAGGTTGGCCTCGAACTTACAGAGATCTGCCTGGCTGTGCCTCCCAAGTGCTGGGATTAACGATGTGCACCACCACTGCCCAACTTTTGGGGTGGGGATTTCTAAGCTATATATGAGTATGTGCATCTTCTCTTACTCATAGGTCATCTCTTCAATGCTTCATAATCTCTTGATATTTGTATGGATGAGCTCACATGAAATTAAGCTGACTATAAGTCTTTATTAAGGCATTTCTTTGAGTTTTATTTCATGCTGAATTTTCTGATATGTCTACACTATTAGCATTGTGTAAAGGATTTAACAAAAGACATCTGATTCATTTACTGAGGCTTATAGAATGGTACAACAGGATACAAGGAGAGTACAATGGTATTCAGTATTTACCCATGGACAACAGTCTTCTGAGAGTCACTGGAGTTTGACTGAATCATGGAGTCTAAACATGACTTCAGATTCAGGCATGGATACAGCTCAGTTTGGATGATGTTTGTCAATAACACAAGTTTGTACCTGTATTTTCATTTGTCCCACTGCAGACCTCCCACTCTCCTCCTTGAATGCAAGGAAGAGAGTGGCCTTCTTTCTTAGGCTCCCCAAGCCTCTACATTCTGTTTGTGTTGAGCCCTTTCAATGGGACAATGTACTACTATAGTAGTAAGCATAGAACAGTGAGCAAAACAATCTTCCCTACTTTAGTTGACTCAAATGCTTTTGTTCTAACATTGATTTTCTGGTGTAAAAGTTTGGAGGAACAATTAATGGGTTCAACACATGTGGTATGAGAGATTTTTCCTGGAGAGATACAACATTCATATGTACCCATCTAGTCAAAAATGGGAACTGAAAGCAGAACCAAGTATGCTTGCCACTGAAATACATGTTGTTGAACCAATGGGCTTTATTGGGGTTACTTGCATAAATATGGAACTGGAGCTGTTTATAAAAGCAAAAGTTACATAAAGACAGTCGTCATCATGAAACTCCAATTCAGCATGAAATACAGCTTTTGCACACTGGATACTCACAGCATACTACACACCTGAAGGTATACCTACATGTTAAAGAGGACTGTATCTTACTGGTTTAATTTATCAAAGCCTCTTCTAAGCAGTAAGAATGGTATAAACTTCTTCCATGGGATTAAGCATAGTGAATCCTGTCAGTTTCAGGAACCTCTTGAAGCTTTTTTTAAATGGTTTATTTCTTGTCCTAATCAGCTTCCTCACAAGATGGAATGCTTCAGTCTCCAGAAAACTGCTACTCAACAGCACATTTTTAGACTTCTCCATTTTGTCTTCATTATGAAGTATTTGCGGTTGAAAAAGTAAAATATTTTAACAAAAATCTTCCTACAATGTCACAGTTCCAGAATTTTTCCTCAGTATAAGGTCTTAATTATTTCTAAGATTTGAGCATTACTTAAAGGCTTTCACAAGTTTCTCATGTTCATCATCCTCTAGGGTGGAGCTTGCAGTGGCCCATAATGACAGAGCTTGGATAAAAAGCCTAGGCTTTATACATTATTTAATATGGAAACTTTGGTCTCCAGTTTGAATTTTCTTATGTTTTCTTAGACCTGAGAGGTTGGCAAAGACTTTGCTTTATCCACTGCTTTTATAAGGTTCTCTCCTGTATGAATTCTTTGATGAGTTCTAAGCCTGGCTTCCTGGATAAGGGATTAGTCACATTCAGTGCACTGGTAAGGTTTCTTCCAGTATGAATTTTCTCATGTTTTCTAAGAACTGAGCCAATGGAAAAGGATTTCTCACATCCACTACATTTGTAAGGTTTCTCTCCTGTATGAATTCTCTGATGGGTTATAAGATTGCCTTTCTGGATAAAGCATTTGTCACATTCACTACAGTTGTAAGGTTTCTCTCCTGTATGAATTTTCTGATGTATTCTAAGCTTGGCTTTCTGGATAAAATATTTGTCACATTCACTACATTTGTAAGGTTTCTCTCCTGTATGAATTTTCTGATGTGTTCTAAGATATGACCCAGTGTTAAAGGATTTCCCACATTCACTACATTTATAAGGTTTCTCCCCTGTATGAATTCTCTGGTGTCTTCTAAGGTTGGCTTTCTGGACAAAATATTTCTCACATTCACTGCATTTGTAAGGTTTCTCTCCAGTATGAATTTTCTGATGTCTTCTAAGACCTGAGCAAGTAGAAAAGGATTTTGCACATTCACTACATTTGTAAGGTTTCTCTCCTGTGTGGGTTTTCTGATGAGTTCTAAGATCAGCTTTCCAGATAAAGCATTTGTCACATTCACTGCATTTGTGAGGTTTCTCTCCAGTATGAATTTTTTGATGATTTCTAAGATCTGAGACAATGGTAAAGAATTTCCCACATTCGCTACATTTGTAAGGTTTCTCTCCAGTATGAATTGTCTGATGTCTTCTAAGACCTGAGCCAACAGTAAAAGATTTCTCACATTCAGTACATTTGTAAGGTTTCTCTCCTGTATGAATTGCCTGATGTGTTCTAAGGTTGACTTTCTGGATAAAGGATTTGTCACATTCAGTACATTTGTAAGGTTTCTCTCCAGTATGAATCCTTTGATGTAGTCTAAGAGATGTTCGAAAGGTAAAGGATTTCCCACATTCACTACATTTGTAAATTTTCTCTCCTGTATGAATTCTCTGGTGTTTTCTAAGACCTGAAGAGTTAGAAAGGAATTTGCCACATTCATTACATTTGTAAAGTTTCTCTCCACTGTGGGTTCTGTAATGGTATTCAAGGTGTGACAATTTATAGAACGCCTTACTACACTGTTTACATTTATAAGGCCTCCCTCTTCCATGAATTTTCTCATGTTTTCTAAGACCTGAGCAACAGATAAAGGATTTTCTACAATTTTTACATTTGTAAGTCTCCTCTCCAGTGTGGATTCTGTAACGTCTTTTAAATCCTGATGAATGATAAAAGCACTTGCCACATTCTGTACATTTATAGGTTTTTTTTCCATAATGGATGTTGTCATGCACTTTCTGGTGTGACAAATGCAGAAAGGACTTATTACATTCTATAAATTTATAGAGTTTCTCTCCAGGATGAATTCTCTGATGTCTACTGAGGATTAAATAGGTCCTGAAGCATTTTCCACATTTCCTGCATTGGTATGGTTTCTTTCCATTATGGATTTGTTTCAATGTGAATTCATGTTTAAAGTCCAGAATTTCATCATATTCTGTATTTTTGTGTTCTTTCTTTCCAGTGTGGATTCTTTGATACTGGCTAATGGTGGAACACAAATTTAAAGACTCCTCATAATCTTTATATTTGTTTTGTTCTTCTACAGTGTTCCCACTTTCATGTCTCTTTAGGTCTGATGACTCAACAGAGTTATACCTGTAGTTACTACTTCTGAAATTCTGGCAGTTTTCTGTAGTATCACTTGTTTTATAAGGAATACATTGGGAGGATTCATGAATCATTTTGTCAGACCATTTGTGAGACTTCTCTTGGACATACACATGCTGGTGGACAATATGCTTTGAGCCTTGATCCAAGACCTTCTCATATTTACATATGCAATGGTTCTCTGGAAAATTAGCATAATTAGGAATAGTAAGGATTGATGCTTGATTAAATAGATCCAATAACTGATGCATCCTTAAGTTCTCTAAGAAAAATAAATGAACAATTCTTAGGAACAGAACTCTTACCAGAGGCCTTTTGTATTTCACTCTCATTAAAAGGATGCTCAGTAGAACCACCACTCTGATCTCCATCAAACCACAAAGACCAATAATAGCCTTCTCATACTTACCTAATCTTCATATTTTGCAGAAGGTTGAACAAATGAGGGATGGAGCAATAATGTACTTTGAGAAAAGAGCTATTTTAACAATCATTTGGAGAATGCTTCTCTTTTTTCTTATTTGGATTTTTGAGAGAATCACACCATGTAGCCTTCACTGCCTAGGAACGCACCATGTAACACAGGCTGGCCTGGAACTCAACAGATCCACTTGCTTCAGCCTCCCTAATGATAGGATTAAAATCATGCTATGCCAGGACTAGAAATCATATCTCAAAAAATAAAAAATAAACAACAATATGCACACCACCAACAGCTCTTTCTCTATTTCTCTATTTTATTTTTTCTCTTCATTCTTTTGAAATCTGAAATAGGTGACTAGCTTAATCCAAGAGTAAAAATCAAATTATCCAACAACTAAGTGCACTACAATGCATTTCCTTGCTTTGAATATTCAATTTCTTTGAACTCCGAAGGTAGGATTAAAAATTAGTTGAGAGGACTGGAGAGCTCATACAGTATGTAGCACTGGTGGTTCATGAAGAGAACACTGAAAAAAGTAAAGTTATGGTTGTGGTTATAGTTATCAGAATTTTCCTTATTTCTGGTAGCCTCTAGACAGATCAGTGCTGTGGGATGTTAATGTATGTCCTGTGGGAGCCCTTCTTGGGTTCCTTGTGGCATTACCCAGCAGGTTTGCATAGAGGATGATTAGGACCATGGGCCTGAGTGCAGGTGTCTGAGATGGTCTGCACTTGGCTGTACTGGGGGATGGTCTGTATGTCAAGTTGCTCTGATTAGTCAATAAATAAAACCTGATTGGTCGTGGCTAGGCAGGAAGTATAGGCGGGACTAACAGAGAGGAGAAATAAAAGAACAGGAAGGAAGAAGGAGAGCTGCCAGCCACTGCCAGGACAAGCAGCATGTGAAGATGCTGGTAAGCCACGAGCCACGTGGCAAGGTATAGATTTGTAGAAATGCGTTACTTTAAGATATAGGAACAGTTAACAGGAGGCCTGCCACGGCCATACAGTTTGTAAGCAATATAAGTCTCTGTGTTTGCTTGGTTGGGTCTGAGCGGCTGTGGGACTGGCAGGTGACAGAGATTTGTCCTGATTGTGGGCAAGGCAGGAAAACTCTAGCTACAGATCAGAGAGTTCTACATACCTACAAAGTAGGTAAATACAAAGGAAGAGTCAGGAATTCTACAAGAAAAGCATGCTTACCTACAAAAACTAGATTGCTGTAATTCTCCCACATTACGTCAGTGTACAGAGCCCTTTGAGAAGAATCTAGACATTCCCACTCCTCCTGGGAGAAGACCACAGCCACATTCCTGAATGTCAACAGACCCTATAATAGAAAATTACTCAATTACCATGTGCTGCTGGACAAAATGCTTTCCTAAATAAAAGAGACCTAAAGAATTAAAGACATTTTTATGATACAGATGAGGCGTGACATTATTCAAAGACAAAAGTTTTCTAACAATATTGCAGAGATGGTTCAGAAGTTAAGAACACTGGTGCCTCTTCTAGAGGACCCAAGTTTGGTCCCCAGAACCCACACGGCATTCCATAATAGATTACAACTCCAGTTCCATCAGATCTAATGCTGTCTTCTGAACTCTACAGGAAGTACATATATTACTTATGTAAACATTCAGGCAAATATATCCACACACATAAAGTAAAAAATAATTTTAATAAAAGATAAATTCTAGAATATTCATAATCTATATTGCATTTTCTTTCTTTTATTAAGAAATTTTTATTCATATTACATACCAACCACATATCATCCCCCTCTCTTTCCTCCTCCTGACCCCCAGCCTCCCCTCACTCAAATCACCCCCCATTCTGTCTTCTGACAAGGTAAGGCCACCCATGGGGAGTCAGCAGAGCCTGGTACATTGAGTTGAGGCAGGTCCAAGGCTCTCCCCTGCATCAAGGCTGTGCAACATGTCCTACCATAGCTAAAAGCCAGCTCATGCACCTGGGATAGATCCTGATCCTATTGCCAAGGGGCCCCTTAAGCAGATCAAGCTACACAACTGTCTGCCATATGCAGAGGGCCTAGTCCAGTCCCATGCAGGCTCCACAGCTGTTGTTCTAAAGTTCATGAATTCCCACTAGCTTGGTTTGATCATAAAAATACATAGCTTCAGAGCAAGGAAACATACAGGGTTGGGGGGAGCCTTCCTCTGCCTAAAGAAGAGAGCAAAGTAATTAAGAGGAACATTCATTTACTCTTGAAAATTGGTGGCTTATTCACAGAACTGAATCAATAACTCTAAAAAATTCTTACTAATATATTCCACATAATGCAATATAGAGGTCAGGACAAGACTGCTTACACCTTGCCTGAAAACAACAAAAGACAAAGAGAAAACACTGATCTGTCTATTGAGGACTTCACACTGAGCTTATTTTGTTATCAGGAGAATGATATGAGAATCCTGAGACAGATTGATTTCAGCTGTCAACACATCCATCATCACTGTGTGATATCAGACAGCAAAGAAATAATCCACTGTAGTGCACTCTGCATCTCCTCTCAGAAACACCAGTTTTATGGCAAGAGCAAGCCACATATTCCTTCCATCATCTGTACTCTCTAAAGGACCGAAATATTTACTACTAGGATTCAAGACTCAGAGTCTCTTCTATTTCTACTTTTACATAAATAGCCCAGTGATGTAAACTAAAAGTCCATGTTTTTCCATGACCACTTTCATAATATGGTTCTGGAAAACTTATCTTCCCTGAAATGAAACCTATGTGGCACATGAGACCGACCTTCCTCACTAAAAGACCCAAGTCTATCCTCTGTAGGAACTGGGAGTCAATATATTTGATCATCATTCACAATGGAATCTTTCAGAATTGCAGGTCTTAAATGCATGGAAAATATATGTCCTCACAGCAATAATCATGGGAGGATAAAATAGAAAAAGGCTGAGTTTTGTAAGTGACAAAATTTAAAGGTTTAATCTTAATTATCAGAAGAAAAAAAAGAAAAAAAATGATAGAAAATAAACACTTTAGATAGCTTTACCAGAGGCAGGGAATTAAAGGCTTGCATGGTTTTGATTTTAAAAAAATTTTTTTTTCAAAGAAATGTGGACATGACACTGACCTGGGGAATATTTATTGGAGAAGCATCCATTTTCCCTGTTGCTCTTCTCTGAGTTTCTGTCTTAGGAACAAAGACTGGAACTCTTCTTGACTTTTCACATCAAGGTGTCAAAAATAAAAAGCTAAAATTAATACAACCCTGTTACAGTGCTAAACCATATAACAAAACCGCCAAATGAAAATGATGCCAGAGGTATTGTCAACATTTCTATAGAGAGGAGAGCATGGAAAGACATATTTATAGTGATGAAAAAAAAAACAAATATGAACATAATCATTGCACCCAGAAATGTAGGCTCTTAAAATTCTTGAAGAAGGAAGTACATTTGAATAAAATTAGGAAATAGCACAGGCCATGCACTCAAGCAGCACTAAAGATCATAATTGGAGGGAAACTATACTGCAGCACGAATCTTAAAAGGTCTTATTAATAAAAACAAACCCAGAGCCAGATATTGGGGTGAACGCTGAAAGATCAGAGAAACAGAACAAGCCACAGCCACCTCACCTTGCCAATTCCTCAGCAGATCCTGTTTCCTCAGACTGGAAGCCTCTGAGTCCTCATCTGAATGGATCTCAGCTGAACTGCTGCTCAAAAGCCTAAAAGCTTAACCATCTCTAGTTCCTGGTTTTCACGCCTTACATACCTTTCTGCTTTCTGCCATCACTTCCTGGGATTAAGGCATGTATCACCATGCCTGGCTGTTTCCAGTGTGGCTTTGAACTCACAGAGATCCGAATGGTTCTTTGCCTCCTGAAAGCTAGGAATAAAGGTGTGAGTGCCACCATTTTCTGGCTTCTATGTCTATCTAGTGGCTGTTCTGTTCTCTGACCTCAGATAAATTTATTAGGGTGCATGATATATTGGGGAACACAATATCACCACACTATACATATAAAAATCTGACAACATTATCCATGATAACACAGGGAATAAAGACATTTAGTTATTATTGAAAAATACAAAAGTAACACACAAGATGACTAGTTTCCTACAAATCTATGACAATTTGAGAAATAAATTAGAAATCTGACCCATTCAGGTTGCTTCAAAAAGATCTAGGGATGAGCCAAAATAATGATGACTTTACTTCTATAAGGGAATTTTTAAGGCACTCAGGAAAAAAAAATGAAAATATAAGTACACAAGGAAATGGACGGACAGACATTCTGACTGACAAAGGACTGGTATAAATGATTATGTTACTAACAGCCATCAGCACAATCGATGCAAGTCCCAGCAGCAAAATACTGACATTTTCCACAAAATACATATGGAAACAGTCACGAGACCACAGGACCATCACAAATATCAAAGAGAGGAGTACAGTTCTTACAGAAGATGAAAGTTTTCTTTGACTATAAATTAGGAGTTCAGGAAACTCAGCCTCTTGCCCAATGGCTGGCAACCATAAGTGAGAGAATGGAATTAACATGGGTTCTTCTCACTGCTTTGCAAGAATATATTTTGTACAATTATTGAAATGTTTGTTAAGATCTAGAAAAGCAAAATATTCAGAGCTACAGCTCTGCAACTTTGTATACACAGGAACTAATATAAAGAGAGGCCCTGAAAAGAGGAGATAAAATCCCTGGCAATTACTGAAAATAAATAAATAAATAAATAAATAAATAAATAAATAAATAAATAAATAATAAGCAAGCAAATAAATAAATAAATAAATGAGAAAAAATTTCTGCCTGACACATCTTGGTAGGGCTGGCCAAATGGATTCCACGACCACTCATCCTCCAGGCCAGCTACACTGAGTGGAATGCAAAGCCCTCCAGCCCCACTCTTTTCCAGGGCCGGGGTCTGGCCTAGCATGGAGCACAGAAAGACATCTGGGGCAATACACAATTCCAAGGAGCAGTGAGCGGGGCTCTGCTGCTGCAGCATGAGCTAGCTTGGCTGCCCCAGAACTTAGTTTTTTGTCATTTGCTTTTCCCTCACATCAGAAATAACTCAATTTAGATTGATCAATGGTCCCTTCATGGGGAGAAATTAAAACAGGCCCAATCTCTAGTGTAGGAACAATTGTAACTAGGACATAGAACACTTAAGCCAATGCTGATTAAATATCCTGAGGTATTGGTAATTCATTATATGGATGACATTCTCTTCTCTTATTCATCTAATAAACACTTAAATGAGTGCTTGACTTTCTTTCTTTCTTTCTTTTTTTTTTTTTTTGAGTGCTTGACTTTCAAGGTCAATAAACTAACAGAAAAATTTCAAATTTGGCATCATGTCAATTAAGTACACTTTTTTTTTTGCATTAGCTTTTTTTTTAAGATTTATTTATCTTTTAGATATATAGTGTTCTGCCTGTATGTCTGCCTCAGGCCAAAAGAGTGCACCATATCTTATTGTGGATGGTTGTGAGCCACCATGTGGTTGCTGGGAATTGAACTCAGGACCTCTGGAAAAGCAGCCAGTGCTCTTAACTGCTGAGCCATTTCTCTAGCCCATTTGGGTATACCTCTTACCTGCCTATCACTACTGAGGATTTAGCTCTGCTCTTGAAGTTACCTGCTGGAGACTCCTGGGTCAATTCTAGAAGTGTCACACCTGAAGCAGAGTGGATGATTAGCTTATTAAAGCTGCTGCTGAAGCAGTAACTCTGAATTAATCCCTTACTTCCTTATCAACTACCTATCCTTCCTTCGTCTTCATCTCCAGCTGGAATTAACATCAACAAGGTAATGGCACTAAAAAAAATCAGTCATGTCATAATTCTATGCAATAATCTATAACTCCTTATTTACAAGAACTTATAGACTTTATAATGATGGGAAGGACACACCTGTGGTAAAGAACCCACAGAAATCAGTGTTCCACTAAATAAAATGCAGGTTGATTATTTGTTCCACACTGATAACTGGTGGGTTGCATTAGCATGTTACTTGGGCTCAATAGACAATCACTATCAAAAAGATCCCCATTAATATTTTTTGAAGATACCCTATGAGCATTGCCTAATATTACATTTAAAAAAAACTTATAGAGATTACTTTTAATGCTTTTATAGATGGCTCTTCAAAAGGAAAAGGAACACATGTTTCATATACAAATTTCCACATGCTCCACGAAAAAGTACCCATCCCAGATGTGCTCAATGGTCTGAACTTGCTACATTTAATCAAATTATATTAGATGTTTCCCAACAATTAAATATTATAACTGATTCTGTTGTTTATTTAAATATGAATGACAGTTTCTTAGGTGGACTAAGGAAGAATCAGACTTATCCAGGTATGCTGGATAGCTATAAAATCCCAGTTTGCACATCCTCACCCAAAATGGCTATCCTGAAGGAAGACTGAGGCTAACATTAACTGACCTCATATATAAATTATCACAGGAAGGATAGAAAAGCACTGAGAATAGAAATCAACCGAATTGAGAGAAAAGGAATGCTGCAGAAGGACTGTGAATTATAGAAAGGGTAAAATAGAAGAAAACATTTGGAATGAGGTTCTCAAGGAAGGAATAGTAAACAGAAAATTGGAACAGATGGGACATGAGTAGCTTAGAGATAAAAATGGAAAAAAAAAGGTTTAGTGTGCTACTTCAGCTAATGTTATTTGTCTTAAAAATAAAAGGTAAAGAACACCTGTGGTAACCTTCCCTGCTCCCATCTCCTGTGGATCCCACAGATCTTCCCCTTTTATCCTCACTCCCCACATTTGTTGCTTTATCCCAGACTCCAAAACCAGCAGGCACCCCTGCTAACCAGAAACCCAGATAGACTGCTTACAGATCCTTCCTCCCCCCTGTTCCTCAGATCCAATACCCCGTCTGTCTCACCCCTAGCTCTACAACAGAACACCTGCTGTAGCCTTCCTTCCTCCTCTGCCCACATCTCCTGTGGATCCATCCCACAGACTTTCCGCTCCTAACCTCCCTTCCACACTTGTTGCTATGTCCCAGCCTCCAACTCCAGCAGACACTCCCTGCTAAGCTACTGACCACACCTGCCAAGACAGTAGGTGGACTGCCTGTAGATCTTCCCCTCTCCTTCCATTCCCCTAGATCCAACCCAGGAGTCTCATCCCCAGCACTACAGCAGGACGTCTGTGGTGACCCCTCTTCACTGTCTCTCTCCATTCCCAGCAGATGAAATAAGTATGTCCTTTTTGAACACTGTTCTAATCTCTCTTGTGAACCCCCCCCCCAGGATCATAGCATATCCACACTCCTCAGTATCAGCTCCCAATACCAGAAACACATTTTATCTGAAACCTCAAATGGCCATCTCTTTTCAAAAAAATGATTCTTCCAGTAGAGAGACTGGGTTGCATTCAATTGAGTTGTTGGCTATGGTGGACCCATGGAAAATCCCCAAACTGAGGTTGTGCTATGACAATGAGTTGTGCTCTGCAAACTGACAGTGGGCCCCCACTGCTGAGGACAACATCCACACAACTCATTTTGAACATGGAAAATTTGAGTGGAGCCCATCTGTAGCCTTCACTGCTTCATTCTAGTATCTTTGGTGCAAGAAGGTACTAGTCAGGCTACCAAAAGAGAAACATCAACACCAACCCAACCACAAAATCTTTCACCTATAATCTGTCCTGCCCGCAAGATATGCTAGGGCAATGAAGACACAGAACTAGTGGAGGTAGCCAAACAATGTCTGATTTAACTTGAGGCCCATTCCACGAAATGGAACCTGTACCCAACATTTTTCAGGTGACCAAGATCCAGAGAAAATAGCCCAGAGAACTAGGATGAAAAAAATCAAACACTGTTGGCCAAAATAAAAACAAAAACAAACAAACAAACAATAAATGACTCCTAAAGATACCCTGGTATATTTATAGATCAGTGCCTTATTCAGCCATCATCAGAGAGGCTTCCTGCAGCAGATGGGAACAAATAAAGAGAGCCACAGCCAGATATCACACACACTCACACACACACACACACACACACACACACACACACACCTTGTAACACACAGCCCTAAATGAGATGACTCCGTCAAATTCCTTCCCTCAGAGCTAAGGGAACAATTCAGAAGAGTGTAAGAGGGGATGGAGGACACCTGGAGAACAATGCCCTCTGAATCAACTGAGCAAGGC